CAGCACCGTGTTGGGAAGTGCAGCACCGTGTCGGGACACGCAACCCCACGTGGGGGTTCGCCCCCCGGGGCTGGGCCGCGTGGCACCGTGTTGGGCCACACCGCGCCACGCGGCGCTGCGCGCTCACCTGCGTGCTCAGCGCCTGGATGTCGTGCTCAAAGGCCGTGTGCATGCGCTGCAGCGCCTCGGCCGTGTTGAGGTCGCGGCCGAGCTCGTCGGGCAGCTGCTTCTGCTTGTGCTGCACCTGCGTGAGGGTCTCGCGGGCGTCGTGGTAGAAGCGGTGCAGCTCRTAGGAGGCCGCCAGCATCTGCGAGCGCGTGTCGATGAGCTCCAGCAGGTCAGCCCAGGCCTCGTTGAGGCCGTCCTTCCACTCGGCCACAGTGGCGTTCTCCGAGTGGCCGGCGGCGATGAGCGCGTCCGCCAGCGCGTTGACGCCATCCACGCGCTCCTGCCCGATGCTGCTCGTGTCGCGCGAGAACTCCCGGAATTTGTCCCGCAGCATCTGGGCGGGGAGCGGCAGGTGGAACGGGGGACGTGGGGGGACACGGGGGCCCCCCTGCCCGTCCCCGCGCCCCGTGCCGCCACGCACCGTGACGTGCTCGTAGTCCTGGCCCAGCTCGTGCGAGGCGGCCACCACCTCGCGCTCCGAGATCCACTGCTCCAGGTCGTTGAGGTCGCGCTTGAGCTGGCAGAGGCGCTGCTGCTCGTGCAGGCGCGCGCGCCGCTCCGCCGCCAGCTCCTGCACGCTGCCGTACAGCGCGGCCACCTGGCCCTGGCGCAGCGCGAGGCGCTCGCTGCGGGCACGGCCGCGGGTCAGCGGCGGCAGCACCGGGCGGGGTGCAGCGCGGGCCAGCCCAGTGCCCTGGGCACCGCGTGCATGAGGATGGGACAGAGATGCCCAGTGCCCTGGGCACCGCGTGCGTGAGGACGGGACAGAGATGCCCAGTGCCCTGGGCACCGCGTGCATGGGGACGGGACAGAGATGCCCAATGCCCTGGGCACCGCGTGCATAGGGATGGGACAGAGATGCCCAGTGCCCTGGGCACCGCGTGAATGGGGACGGGACATAGATGCCCAGTGCCCTGGGCACCGCATGAATGGGGACGGGACAGAGATGCCCGGTGCCCTGGGCACCGCGTGAATGGGGACGGGACAGAGATGCCCAGTGCCCTGGGCACCGCGTGCATGGGGACGGGACAGAGATGCCCAGTCCCCTGGGCACAACGTGCATGGGGACAGGACCAAGATGCCCGGTGCTCGTGGCACAAGGTGTGTGCATGGGGATGGGCCAGAGATGCCCCATCTCACAATCCCCACACACATGTGGGCACAGGCAGCAGTGCAGGGACCCGCGGGGGGACCCGTCGGGCGGCACTGACCTCTCGGGGTGCCCGCTGGCCACCAGCTCGCGGCTCTGCGCCGCCAGCTGCTGCACAGTGCGCGCGTAGTCCCGCAGCGCCTGCTCCAGCCCCAGGTGCCTGTTCAGCATGGCCTGGGCGCTCAGCTCGTCCTGCCAGGGGAGCGGAGCGGCGGCTCAGGGGCACCCCGGGGACCCGGAGCTCGTGGATCCCCAGGATCCAGAGCTTGCGGCCACCAGGGTCCCCGGAGCTCGCGGCCGGCCTCACCTTGGCCTTCTCCTGGGACATCATGTGCAGCTCCTGCTCGCCCATCCAGGCCTCGGCCTCGGCGGCGTCGCAGTAGAACTGCTGGGCGGCGAGGGCCTGCTCGAGGCGCCCGCGGCGCCGCTCCGCCTGCAGCCGCAGCTCGCGCCAGGCGTCGCGCAGCTCCTGCACGCGCTCGCCCGGCTCCGCGCGCCGCCCCAGCAGCTCCTGCACCCGCGGCTCGTGGCCCTGCAGCTCCTTCTGCAGCGTCTGGGGACATGGGACGAATGGGGAGGGTGGAGGGGGCTGTGCGGCTGCGGCAGGACCCCCCCCAGCCGCCCCAACCACCCACCTGGTTCTTCTTGATGAGGAGCTGCACGGAGGGCAGGTCCTTGCCGTGGTCGGTGGACACGGCCAGGGGTCTGCGCTCCTTCACCCACAGCTGCAGGCGCGAGGTGGGAGCGTCAGGGCACCCCGCTTCCATCCCGGCTTGGGGTGTGGGGGCCCCCCYGCGCTCACGATCTCGTCCTCCAGGTCGCGGTTGAACTGGTGCTGCTCCTTGGAGGCCAGGAGGCGGGAGCAGCGCTCGCGCAGCGGCGCCTGCAGCCCGCGGAACTTCTCCTCCACGGCGCGGAACTGCTCCTCCGCCTTGGCGTCCTCCTGGCCGAGGGCCTGCGCCTGCGCCCGGATCGCCTCCACCTCCTTCTCCCGCACGTCCATCTGGTTCTCCAGCAGCTGCCGAGGGCGGCACATGCGGGCGCGGGTCAGCGGCCGCGGGGTGCCCAATCCCCGAGCATCCCAACCCTGGGTGGTTCCCAGTTCTCGGGCATCCCAAATCCATGTGGTTCCCGATCCCCGAGCATCCCAACCCTGTGTCATTCCCAATCCCTGAGTCTCCCAACTCCATGTAGTCCCCGATCCCTGAGCATCCCAACCCCGTGCCATTCCCAATCCCCGAGCATCCCAACCCTCTGCCATTCCCAATCCCCGAGCATCCCAACTCCACATAGTTCCCAATCCCCAAGCATCCCAACCCTATGTGCTTCCCAAACCTCGAGCCTCCCAACCCGGTGCCATTCCCGATCCCCGAGCCTCCCTTTCCCGCTCCGTGAGCCTCCCAAGCCGGCGCAGTTCCCGGTCCCCGCTCGCCTGTTGCTTCTTGAGCAGGATGTTGACGCTGGTGAGGTCCTTGCCGTAGTCGTCGGACTGCAGCTGCGCCTGCACGCCGGCCAGCCAGGCGCGCAGCGCCGCGCACGACTGCGCCAGCAGCTCGGCGCGGTTGGCGTCGAACAGGCTCTGCGCCCGGCTCCGCGTGCTGCCCTCCAGCTCGTCCCAGCGCGCCCGCAGCGCCGCCAGCTTCGCCGCCACCACCGCGCCCAGCTCCGGCTTCTCCGCCGCCAGCTGCTGGCCCTCCTGGAGCGGGGACACGGTGGCAGCGGGCG